AAAAAAAAAAAAGAAAAAAAAAATTTGCATTCAGAAGCCCTTGCCCTCCTCCCTTAGAAAGCCGTATATCTGATCTTTTACAGCTCACTTCTGTAAACTACAAAAACGAGGGGTGTGTGTGTGTGAAGGGTGTGTTCTGTGCTCTTCTGTTCACACCCTCTTAGGAGTGTCTAAGGACTGCATATTCCCTTCTACCSCTGCCAGATATTGTGTATTTGTCTGGTGATATGTGGATGGCTTCTGCCACCAGTTGTGAGTTTCTGTAAGTGAACAGCAATGTTGAGGAGGGTGATTAATTTTGCCTTTAGGTAACAGTTCTGGCATGACACTGGTACATGAGCAGGGATGCAGCGGTGTGCATTTGTATGACTATATTTATCTCCCAGTTTGACAGATTTCTGCAAGTACTCTTACTCTGATTTTGTAAGTGATTGTATTTATAAAAGGAGGGAAGGAAAGGGTGAATTGAGAGCTTTGCTTTATATCTGGCTCAAAAAGRGGTTGCCAGAAGGCAGCCTGGTTAGAGATGACTCCCTCCTGCTGTTAACATTGTAATAGGAAGCTTAGAAGACACTAAAGGTTTAACAACAACCAAGCAAAAGCACAACAAAAAATTCKGTGACACATGGTGTTGGCACTTACAGCTTTAGCTATCTGCTTCCATTGTAATTGCTGTCTGGGTCTGATGGTTGGTCAATKGATGAGGAGGTGTGTGTGTATGTGAAAGCTGTGTGCCCCCCACTGAGACCCRTAAGGTGTGCACCATACACCAGCAGATGAACTGGTTGCCCCTGCACTGGCTGAAGCAGCCTGCCRGCCCTGTGATGCAACTCGGGTGGAGGAGCTGTGTTCCAACATCACAAGAGCTTTTTCCATTTTATGTAAACCAAAGCCTTGACTTTTGGGCAATTGCATGGAAGCATTTCAGGGAGGATTTACAGTTCCAGCTATACTTTGCTGGAAAATCTAGTGTTGTACAGGTCAAACAAATGCTTTCCCTTTCCATGCATAAAATAATATGGTATGCACTTGGAATGGTTAAGTTTTTGAAAACTGGATATGGAGTCATGTGCTGAGAAACCTCAGGGCATTGCCTACAAGTCCCCTTATTCTTCTTTCTGGAGGTTATAGTGCTCTCAAGGGTGACTTGCAGCTCCCAAAGGTCTGACTTAGACATGCTTTATTGACTGCTCATAAGTGAAACTGTGGAAGAAATGCAGGACCATTGCTAGTGCATAAAGACACAAAGGCAGRGTTGAAGACTTGATTGCTGTGTTTATTTTGACCACTGGCCTGGAAGCTCTAGTATAGACCCTTATGGAATTGGTCTGTTTCAGGAAAGGAAAAACTCTTTATTCTAGAGCAATTTGGAATTAATATCAAWTGGATCTGAAGACCTGTGAATGCCTCTGAGTGTGTGGGATTATAGAAGTTTGGAGGCGGGGTGRGTARAAAGTTCYTAACTGTAAAACAGCGACTAGCATRTAGTTGTTGGGAGAAAATAATGTGTTTTGTGATGCTTTAAGAATAGCGCCCAGGGACATAATCAGAGCCTGTGGTAATGAGCATCATAATGGGATGTAGAACTGAGATTCCAGATGTAGCTCTTAGCACTGTTTCCGGACCTAAATGCATGACAAGTTGTCATTAACACAGCTTTTGGATGAATTACAGAGGGGTCTGTAAATGGTTGTGAAAATAGAACCTGCAATGCTCAGACAGGGAAGGTATCACAGAAATAATTACCAAATACATCACGTCAGTAGGGATGTAGATTTCAGGGAGACTGGTGCATAGGGGAAGTGATTCCAGGGACCACTGGCAGTGTGTGTAGATTCCCTGTTAGCAGCCTCCTAAGCTGCAGGAGTGTACAGCTGTAGAGGCAAACACAGATTTGACCAAGCATATTTGCTAAAAAAGCTTAGCTTGCACCACAGCTGCTAAGCTTATTTATTTATGCTATTTAGATAGAAYGTGGACTGCCTTCATTTTCTCAGTTTTAAGTTCATTGCTTCAGGAAGTTGCCCTTTATAATCAGTTTTCCCAATTACATGGGATGGGAGGAGTGGTAAACAATATAATGGCTTTAGCTTCTTTTCTTAATAAATAAAACTTGGCTGCTGTTTGAGGTCTTCTTTCTCCATGCCTTTTCCTTATGAGCTATCTCTCCAGCAGCTGTTTTCCCATGACTGCTCTATCCAGTTATCATGTGGAACTGATGTTTATTTTTTCTGCAGCTGGATTTCTTCAGTTAAAAGTTATGGGTGTAATTCTCTAGGGCTAAGTCTTATTATAAACACAACATTTAAATGGTGTCAAGATGTAAGATAGTGGGTTTCCTCACCCCTGAAGAATTAAGTAGGAGGAGTGGGAACTCTGAAATTAACACTTAGATGGGAACAACACTTGTTATATAAAACAACAAAAAAAAAAACCCAAGTTTCACATTTATTGTTAGTGCTCTGTATGCCACCTGCTTTGTGAAGGCAGAACTCTGAAGTATACTTGACCTTAGTTTCTCTTTGAAGAGGAGTCTCTAAGCGGTCCTAAGAAGTTCAACATCTCAGAATGTCTTAAAAGAGTGGATCAAAGTATGATCTTAATGCTCTTAATGATGTTTGAATGGTATTGGCAAACAGTCTGCAAAACAGGATATTGGTACAGTCCAGTATCTGCTTCCATTGCCACTACCTCAGTATTGAACATTTATTGGATGTACTGTTTGAAATTTGCAGTTATCCATGGGTTATCCAAATGCCAATGAATCCTTTCATTGCTTACCTAAAGGGGGAGCACACAAGCGTTAGTGGCTTTCAGTTGTGCTGACTGAATTGAATGTTGGTTGTGGCCTGCTTCTTACCAGAATGTAGCTGCCTGGCCTGTAGTGCTTCCCATAGCACTGTCATGCTGAAATGCACAAACTGAATTAAATGTACTGCATTGTGTTTCAAAGTATGATACTGAGTTTCTCTAGAGAACTCACCTGTTACAATGATAACCAAGATGACAGATTTAATGGCTGGCATGCCTCAAACTCCTTCCTTTTGTCTGCTGTACAGGTTTGGCTTCTCCTGTCAAGGCAAGCTGATCTCCAGCTTCCACTGAAAATGTCATTCTAATCTTGAGGGTATTTTTCTATTTATTTATTTTAAAATTTATTTATTTTCTTTCCGATTTAGACGGTACATTCTTGTACTCTTGTATAAGAGCTGGAAAATTTTTCGTAACTTTGATATGACAAACACAGCAGCTTTCAAGGTCTGGGTTTGGAAAATGGAAGAARGACTAGGCTAGACATTGGCTTGTGCTACAACGAAAGATGTATTTGTTCCATCCAATCTTTCATTTATACACGCATACACACACAAAAAAAAAAAGACTTGGCTTCAAGCCTTAGCAATGTTATTCAGTTTATTCTTTCTGGATGGAAAGCCTTATATTTATTCTCTATATTTAGTTATTGGCCAGTTTCAGGAGCTTCTCTTGAACTGGGAGTAGATGAATGCAGTAGTTATTTTATAGTTAGTCTTCTTCTCCTTTCTTCCCCTAAAATGAGGGGAAGAAATATATAAATATTTCTTTCATCCTATAAATAGGATGGCACTCACTCTTCGCCAAAATAAAAATATAATCCACGAAAGCCAACATGGCCGAGTTAATTCTGTAATGGCCTACTATCCACAGCATGTCATATGCCTTTGCCTACCATAATCCTGCAGTCTCTGCATGAATGGTGCTCTTAAGGCTCAGTCTCATTCTCTCATGAATGAATTTCTGTGTGCTTTTAGACATGTGAGAGCCTTAGGTCTTGGGGCATCTCAGTGTAAAAATGGACTGTGTGTTTTGTTGCCTTTTTTTTTTTTTAATTTTCTGCTTCAGAATGTTGTTTTTCCTTAAGTGGAAAATAAAGATTTTCCACTTAAGGTCCAAGCAGCATAACCTCTAACTTACTTGAAAACCTAAAACTGCAGGAACAACCAGTAGCAGGGGAAAAGCATGATGTAAGAGGAAGCAGAAAGTCTGTGGCCACATCACTGTTTTGCTGTTTTCACTCCTCTGTCCAGCAATCATCCTGCTCTATACATCCATAGGGGTTATAGGAGTTTCCTGATTTATAGCAAAATCTGTAAGACATGGGGCAAGAGGATGTTTTCAAGCAARCATCTCTAGTAGATATTTAGTACTGTGCAATTACTTTCCCTCATGCAGCAGCTGTTCATATAATTAACTTGGCTAAGAGGGACTAATGCATGTGCCTTTCTCTTTGGAGTAACAGGTCAGGGAATGTTTATTCCTTTCCTATACACACTGTAGGCTTGCCTACATCCTGGCCCTGGTCCCAGCTATTACTCATTTCCCTAGAGAGAAGGGGTATGTTGTGCCTGAAAGATGATAGCCTGAATAAAGTTGGGAAGGGGATCCTTGCACTGAATCTTGCAGCTGACTGTCCTTTATTAACCCAGCATTTGTCTTGAGGAGTCCTGGCAAGGTCTTTAGTCTGGAAGGTCACTAAACACAGACTTTGAGCAGAATTGCTTTTCAGGCCAGGAAGGGAGACTGAATTGTACATTGAAGACTTGAGCAGTGCAAGCAGAGGTTTATATTAACTGTTACAGTATTATTTGTTACAGTGTTGTAAGACTGAAATTTTTGATGCTGCCTGCACTGATTTTTTTTCCCATCCAGCCTGATGACAGTTCAAGAGGAAAACATGCATTCTGGCCTTTGCTAAACAGCCGCATACATACATACATGCTCTCTGGCAGCTGCCTATGTGTGTGCAGACATACTCACCTGTTCAGATGATTAAATGATAATGAGTATTCTTCCATGTCTATAGTGTAGCAAGTACAGCACATCTTTACATAATCTGCCTGATTCCATCACTCAGGGCTGCCCCTTTGACTTCTCAGCTGACATGTAATAGGAATGTTTAAAGCAGAAAGAAGGACAGTACAGACAACTTGTTTTCTCTGCACAGGCTGAGAGCAGTACAGAGGGAATTTTATTGTCTAAGTGTCAAAGGAAGCAGGAAGAAATATCAACATGAGGGCCATGGGAAGTGCAGCAAGAACTAAATCTAAAAAAAAAATTCTGTGTTGGCTACATAAGAACACAGACCCACACTGATTAATTACAAAAAGACACACATGATACTGTTCTTCAAGAAAGAAACTTTCAATTTCTTAGTTCTGAGCTGTACCAGTGATAAGGATGTRAATGGTTTTGGAGCACCCCTATCGTTTCTGGAGTAGAATACTGATGTGCATGGAAGGGGACCACTCTGGTCCTGCTAGCACCATCTCAGCCCTGACCTGGAGGGAAACTCTGCTCTGCAGAGATCATAGGGAATTCAGCAGCCTTCTGGGCCTAAACTGAGTTGCTCTTGAGCAGAAAGGGCCAGGGCACCACTGAAGGAGAGTGGTTGTGATACAAGTAAATACCTGCTCAGAAGACAGACAAAAATATGAAATTCCCTAAGGAGTTCAACTTGGCTGTAGAGGACAATCTCACTTTGCTCTGGGAGAGCAAACATCAAGCCAAAATAGCACTTGCTTAAGTAAAATTTTAAATCCATAATGCAGGTCTAAATGTTGTCAGGACAACAGTGAAGGCCACTGGAATATGTGGTGTTATTTCAGCCACACACAGTACTACCTGGGACACCCCCTGCCTATGTCTACTGTCTGATCACTTGAAATAGCAGGTAGCTAAAGCAATCACCTGAAGTGATTAGCCAGAGCCACTGGAAGGTGGCCAGTGGAAGCAAGCCACTGGAAGCAAGGTCAAGCCAATGTAATCCAAATCCAGACTCTTGCCCTTTGGCAGACAGGAGCTTTCTTCTGTTTGTTAGGATTTCTTAAATGCTGAAATTTTAAGGACAGTCATGTTTCAGTCTATACACCACCACACATGAGCCTACCTTTGGGGGTAGGCACCTGATTAAGGCTTTCACCTGAAATACTTAAAATTCATCATATTAAACATAYTTGACAACAGCAATACAGCTACTATGTGAACAGAAACTAGGTTTCGACCTCAGTTGTGGAGTAATTTATTCTGATAGATCCAAGGATACTATGTACTGACCCATAGCCTGGCGCACACAAGGTAAAATAGTAATTGAAAAAAAAGCACTCCACTGCCACCTAAAACACTTGCTAACATACCTTAAGTTCCTAAAGACACCTTTAGCTTCAACTAGTTTAAAAAAAAGAGTAATGTGTCACAGACTGATGGACACCCAACCCTGCTCTTTAATGTACAAAGTTTGTATCAGAAAGTTTTGCTCACTAATGAATCTTCCCATTAAAAAAAAATGCAGTTGGCCAGGTATCAAGGGACTTATCTACATAAAAGGATAAAGAGGGACTCTTATTTCAAGGTTTGCATTACATTTAAAATAGTTTTTGCAGTAATAGGTCAGCATTTGTTAAAGTCTTTCAAAGCTCACCTCAACTTTACATACAATGCAGGCAGTGTCTATCCATTCCTAGTATACAAACTCGGTTCCCTTCCATAGAGTTCCCAAGACTTGTACTGCAGAACAGRTATCAGGTGAGACCTACTGAACAGTGACATTTACATCACAGAGCTACATGAGCAACCCTATTAATATTTAATATTAAAAAATTAATAGGACTCCTCAAGATCCATCTTTCTTGTTTGGCAGGCACTAAGCAGTATGAGTTACATTGTCATTCCTTCTCTGTAGCTCTAAAGTCTACAGAAGTGAAAAAGACTCATCACCGGTCTTTTTTTCCTTATGGTTAAAGGCAGACAGACTAGAAACCAGAGCATGTAGATGGAGGAGGAAAGAAGTCGAAGTGCTGAAGTTTGTCTTGCACTGTACCCTCTGATTTCTTACAGCATGAAACTGGATTCCATTAATCCTCTGTCATGGAAGGATGTGGTCTTGTTTGTTGGGAAGGAAGCAAAGCTTTGTATTGAAGTGATTCATCCTGTTACAAAGGTGGGGGGAGCCAGAGCAAGAAGGGGAGCAATGCATGGTCCTTTTCCAGTTTCTTGCACCATCTGCTAAACTGGAGATACAGAAACAATAAGGAGCAGGAATTCTGTGAAACAGAAACACAGCAGAAGACTTGAAATAATAACCCTACCAGGGGGCACTTGCCTGCTTCTGTGTCCATCTTGAGAAATTTATCAATGTTAGATACATGCCAAGAATTAAATACCTGCTAACATATATAATTATGAAACCAAATCTTGAAAGAGGATGGTCTTGTCTAGCTGCAGCTGAGGATTAAGAGACCTTGAAATCTACCTGTCATTCATATCTTAAACATCCACTTCCTTTGGTTTTCTAAGCTATTGGCCTTAGTTATGTCCTGCAGGAAAGCACTTAATTACAGAGTCAAACAAAGCATTTTGTTTTAAGGCATTCTGCCCTGGTGATCTAACACTGCAGAACACCCATTACCCTGCTCTCAAGAAAGCATCATTAACTTACAGCTGACCCCACACTTGTCCCATCTGTTTTAAAGTCTTCCTCCCACCCCCACATTTCCCTTCCTTTCCATTAAAAAAGCTCAAGTCTATCCAGCTATTGAATGTTCTCTGTATTAGGCTGCTAATTACTCTTGAGAGCTTTTCAGTTACTGTGGATTAACCAACCAATCAACTAACCAAAGTCATGGTGAGGATGCATTCTAGTAATCTTTAAAAATTTTTAAAAAAATTCTGGATTTCATCCACTTTAATAAAACCTGACATTCAGTTTTTCCTTGCTCACTGCTGCTTGTATTTATCACATGATTCACAGTGGCATCTGAACTTTCAGTCTGCTGCATACCAAACATTATGCAGAGGCAGTTTGTAGCTTCCAAGTGGCCCATATTATTTACAGGTAACTGTGGTACCTTTACAGCTAACATCATCATCCAGAAACTAAATATGTTAATTTACAGCCCATAAAAATGACCAAAGGACATGTTCAAATAGATGCTTGGCTTGCTACTGCTGGTAATTTCAATTGTTGTATATAGCTGGAATGTAAGARAGTGGATAGGTGTTGCAYTGCACTGTGGAAACAGTATCCTCTTCTGGATTAACCTCTTGGCTCAGCAGCAAGTTCTGCMACCTTCTTACAGATTTTCCTCCTGGTTGTACAGCATAGCAGAAAAGTACAGACTGCAAAGGTAGATTGGAAGGATGGACTGCAGTGGGATGGATACGCCTTGCAAGTTACATCACAGTTAAGGATGTACAATTAGGAAACTGTAAGGCCTGAGTTAAATCGCTTGTGGGTGGTGCTTCAAGGATTAACTGCTTTAACTAGACAGAAGAGCTGATTTGTTTGGGGTTAAGAACCCATTCTCTGCCACCAAAATAGCTCTGCTTATTATGAGGATATGGCACGGGAATACTGCATAAAAAAAACCCCAAAAAACAGTAGAGCTCCATCATGTTTCTAACAAAGAAAGAAAAGAAAGAATAAGCCTAGTTCTAACAAAGTTAAATATGTGGTATTTCAGAAAGTTTAGCTCCTTGTCAGTGCTGTGATAAAACAAGACTGTTTCTCCCAAGTATACTCCCACTCCCAAGCTCTGGTTTTGCATCCCTTAGATCCATGCATCTAAATCACTTCAAGACCATGCTGTTCTGTCTTCTGGAAACTTCACCGTTCCCATGTCTTAGGCCTCAAACAGAGGTCTGACAACACTCCAGATTTCTGACAAGCATTACACTCCTTAATCAGTAGTAAAACACTCCCCCAGAAGTGAGTAGGAAAAGGCCAAAAGTGGCAGAAAGGCCCAGCCCAGTACTTTRGGGAAGGTTAGTGATGCTGTAACATAATGCAACTACCCAAAGAGCCAGAACAAGCACAGCTCTGGCACTGTGGTGGGGAGCTGCTTTCAGGAGGCTCCAGGCTGAGCTGACCGGAAAGCAGCTGCAATTTCCTCAAGCAGGGCAGCTCACAAACAGGTGTATGTAACTCTAGCACTAACACTACAGGGAGGAAGGAGCAAGACGCTTGTGGAAAGCAAAGTGTTCCCATTATTATATTCTTCTTTAACTATTTACTCTTAAAACTCGTACCCCAGTGACTGAAGTGACTTCCACAACCTTTCTGAATAGCAATCACTAGAATTTAATAGAGAGAAGGCTGATGTAGAGATGATGAGAAGTTCAGGTTTCCCACCAGCCCCCACTTGCCCCATCTCCACTGCTGGAACAATTGAGGTCTCTGTGCCTGTTTTCATATAGCGATTGTATAGGCATATCCTGACCCACACAACCACCAAAGAACCTTCAGCAACAATTCACCAGCATTGCAGTGGTGGGCAATCTTCCCACTGTCTACCCCCTCAGAGACAATGAAATGCTTTGAAATAGGCAGGACTAAACATACAAGATATGTTTTTTCTGGATGAGAAGACTTTGTATGGTTAGTAAATCAGGCTGAGCAAATTCAGACCTATCTCTCACAAGAGCAATGATAAACAAAGTATTCATAATGACAAAAYCAGGAGTTTTTGTACAAGATTCGGAGGCCATCCCATTCCAGCATCACTTCTCCCTCAGCCCTGCAGGCCTTGCAGGGGTTGAAGACTTTTGTGCAGACAGGGAAGAAGTACTGTTGACAAGATTCTTCATCTACTTGCTGTCAAAGCAAAGATATCAAGTCCACTGACCCCACTCACTTCACATTCTTCCTGAAGCAAACTCCCACYAATGTATACATTTTTTTTGGKTTTTTTTTTCTTTTTTTTTTAAAAAATACTTAAGTGACTTAAGATGGTCACCTCTCCCAGAAACAGGCAGGCGAATCCTCTGGGACCCATGGGATCCAGCTCTGGGACTGGCCCACTAGTAAGTACCTGGGAAAATCAGCACTCTCTTATGCTCCCACTCCCCTGGCCCATTTGTCAGAATCACTGCAGGTGGATCCAGGTCCCAGCTGTGGCCAGCATGAAGTCCATGGAGCCAGGCACACAAGGCACAGCTCTCTTCACACCCGGATCTGGTACCCATTGAGGTCTGGCATGGCTTTGGAATCAGCAGGCTTCTTCTCACCAGATGGCCTGTGAGCAAAGAGGGTAACAACTCTTCAGAAACTGTTTTCAGTCAGGAGGTTCTGCATATAGAGATGGCAGCAYGGAAAAGGTACAGGAGAGCTTCAGACTGATCCTGCACTGAGGGCAGGACTATTCTGCAGCCTCCAGTAATTCTCCCAACAATCTCAACAGAACAGACAGCAAATTAGGAAGCAATAAATCCATTCTGGAACCTCAGATTATTASGAAAGCAATCTTGGCTGACAGCAGAATAATTTTTGGAATCTCTTAAGACACAGGTCTGTGAGACACCAGATCTCAGACCCATCCATAAGGTTAAAAGTCAGCTACCAACTGTCTGAGCTGCCTTCCTCCTCCCTGCTGAAACAAGCAAGCAAAATACCCCAATTGCCCCCCCAACTCCCTAAGCAATGATAAATTCACAACRGTACTGACTAGGGAAGAATGCTATTACAGGTCAGAGAAATATCCACTGTTCTAAAGACACCCAGTAGGACATGAGAAGGATCCAAACCAAACAAGATGGAGTCTGAGTAAAACAGATGTTCTAGATAGATCTCCTGCCCAGCAGCCCCACTCACCGTCGGTCCCCACGGCTGTTTCGCCGATGGGGGCTGGCCTGACCTCTTTGTGGGGAGGAGACATCTTTCTTTCTGTCCTTGGTGGGAGACGGTGGTCCAGTTCCTTTCCCAATCTAGCAGAAAAATAAAATTAAGAGCAACATGAGCAGAAAACCAGTATGAGTAATAACAAAACCCACAGAAACTAATGATAGTTTATTATATGGAAAAAAAAAAGACAAAAAGGCAAGGCAAGTGCATAAAAAATGCAAAAGCCAGAAAAAACAAGTTACAATGACAGCTGTGGCTCTAAGGACTGTATGCAGTCTGAGCTAATCACAGCTGCAGCACTGCATGAGCATCCATTAAGGGACCAGGCTGTATACAGTGGGTGGTATACAGTGAGAAAGAGGCCCTAGCCTCCAATTCACCTTCTGCTCCACCCATCTAGGAGATTCTCTTGTCACTTCATGCTCCCATGAAGCCAGCAGCCAGGCAAGACAGTGGAGGCAGCAGTAAGCTACTCCATCCTTGCTGCTTACCTTCAGCCTCATATCACGGGCATGTCTCTCAAGCTCTTTGCGAAAATCTTCTCGRGTTAGCTTGTCTAGATCCAGGATGGAGCGCTTCCACTCAATCTGCTCCACGCTGTGTGGATCATGTGACACACAGTGGCCCAGCTTCACCTTTTTCAGAGTGTGCCAGCAGCGGCGATACGCCTCTTCGAAGTCAAAGATGAGTTCGCTTAGTGTGCGGAAGACAGGTGCTTTGTACATGAGTTCCTCACGTCGGCTGATGCCCAGTGCCCCATAGCGGCCACCAAAGTTCACCCCCAGCACGATGTGTCGGAAGTAGTTCCCTGAGAAGTGAGTTTTGAAGCTGATGGGGAAACGGTCCAGTGTGGTCATGTTGTTGGTGAGGTAACTGACAGCAGTCACTATTCAGGAAACAACCGGTGATACCAGTTTGTTGCCAAGATACTTCCTGCCTGCTCCAGACCCTCCCAGCCTGCTCAGCAGACTCCCCATTGATTCAGACATCACATAGACAGGATTTGTTCTCCAGGTCAAGAGTCCAGCTCATTGCAGGCTGCCCTATTTTCATCTGGGTTATGGGGAAAACAGACTTGGCTTCTTCAAGGAGACAGTCAACTACAGGAAGTTAATTTTGATGCAGTTTTGTGATGCAGAAGTTGCAACACTAGCACCTTAAGTGTACGGTATTCCCTAGCTCCCAAACTGTCAAYACTGCAGCATTATTCCTCGGTTGGTTTTAATCTGTTTCAGTAGCTACTATTTTACACACCTTCAGGATAAAAACTCACCAGCCTACACTTTTGAATTCACTCACCATCTCTGCCCTCCAGGTGGCTTTACCAATGTGCGTGAAGAACCTATAGCCCAAGCACCACAAACTAAACCTGGAAGACAGCTGGGAARGATGGGAAAGACAACACACATATAGAACAAATAAAGGTATTGCCTAAGCTAATAAGTGACATTAAAATAAGTTAGGGATCCTCCCTGACATAATTAGAAGTTGGAGAGGATCCCTAACCTATTTTAATGCAGAACATATGCAGGCAGTAAGGGAACAATGCTGTCCACAAATGATTTCCTGACCTAACTCTAGCTAGTGTTTTYGCCCCTCTAGATGTTCTTTTATGTTTTACTGTCTTGTATAGCTGACCAGAGCAGCACCACCCTTATTCATGAAGGAAGAGCAACTCCAAAGATTCTGAGAGTTCTGATACTTTAGACAATTGCTTGGATTTGGATTTCATTGGTGGGGCTTTGTGGGAGAACTGGGAAGGAAAAAAGGAGGAATCTAGGGCTTGGTGACAGTATTATTATCACCCTCAAAGCATCACAAGCAAGAGAGCAGAGGCAAAAACAAAGGATGGGTGGACATGCACAACTCCAAGAGGTAAGGATACATTCCCAGGATCACAGCTTCCAGGCATTTTATTGGCAGGGCCTCTTTGGTCATTTCTTTGGCCAGATCCATCAGCCTGCAGAGTGGGACAAGGGAAAGATGAGGACAGTTAGAAGGCATGTGCTATGCAAGTGTGGCCAGTTCAGCCCTTTTGCACTGTATATGTAAGGTAGGTTTTCGGGAGAGAGGGTGGCCCACAGAGGATAGGGAGCAGAACAAAGTATCTTCTTTAAGAAGATATTAAATCCAAACCAGGTCTCTGGCACACGCTGCTGTTGCTTACAAGGAACTAACTTCAGTGAATTCCTGCAAAACTGCTTACTAGGTGTTCTCAGGGACACCACAGCACCTGGCTTGGCGAATTCTGGATGGACACCAATGTCACCACAAGTAAAACCCTCTAAGGACCAAGAGCCAGCAGTGTTTGCCTCACAAGGCTCAAGGACAATAAAGCTTTCTTCTCTGACATCTGCCCTAGTGTCTGTTCAGTGAGTACCATGGAAGAGATGTTGGACTGATTACAAAACAATGCATTTAGAGTCACTTAAATCTGACTAGACCAATAGTAAGAAGCCAGTCTCAGGAGATTCTCCATATGCTCCTCAAGAGAGTCAATGAACATCAGGTGCTTATTGCCAGGATCTTCTGGAGCACAGCAGTTCCCTAAATCTGCAGTGAGGAGAATACCCTTTCTCATTAGAAGTATGAGTCACCAAAAGCTTAGTGAGCCTGGATTCTGCAGAGGCACTCACAGGAACTATGAAGTCAAACCTGTAAAGATACTTGGCTTTCACAAAACTTTTTAGAGCAGGACCTAAATTTCAGAGTCCCTCAGAAGTTCGTAGGGTTACATTCGAATTAGAAGCACGCAGAATATGCATGCTTTTGCAGTACATTGTCGTTGGTTTACTGGATTTACTGATCTGTGACAAAAACCSTCCTACTCTCGTTCTTGAGAAAGACCAGACACAGCTCTGCCCAGCCATGCCCCAGSTGACAGACAGTACAGTTACCAAAAGCAGGATGAAGCTGCAGTATGGAAAGCCCTAGACCTGGGCTAGTGGACCTATGCCACTAGACCTGGGCAGGGGATGGAGTAAAAGCAGTGTGAGTAGCAGGGCTCCAGCAACAAAGAAGGATTAAATACTGTAGAGGCTGCCACTTACCCAGTCAGAGGTCTGCTCTTCTTAATCTCAAAGAATTGTGTCCCAGTGTGATTGTACCTGGAGGCAAGGAGTTAAGGGCTTGGCAGTTTGGAAAGTAGTTTGAAGAAAACTTGTCTGAAGGAGTTTCACATTATTTCTATTCTCACAGCAAAGTCATGATCCCACAAATGCAGCAGCAACACAAGAAAATCCCTACCTCTCTTTCCTGCATATCTCCCATTTATAGTCCCGCCTTACTTCCACGGTATTTTCTTGTCAATTCTTCTCTTCCTCATACACATGGGTTTCCACTCCAATTCCCAAAGGTTCATGCTGACAGCACATGCTGTGCTCAGCTTTCCAGTTACCAGGGCAGAATAGTTTGATAAATCTCTTCCTGCTCCAATCAGCATATAACACACGGAGCAACAAAACGTGTGGTACCTTATTCTAAGGCTGACTGGGATCCAATCCAGAGCACAACCACCCTGGATGGGTGCGAGGTGCCAAAACGCTGGCCTTCTTACCTTGAATTAGGGCTGAAGCCAGAGCTAGATTGGTATCTCATCAGAGAGATTAGGCTGTGTTTGCATGGCATATACCTGCTCTCCGGCACAACAGGGATAGAGAAATCGCATTCCCAGAACACAGTCACACAGGCAGCTCTGCATATAAAGGGGCAGGATGCCRCAGATGCACAAAAGCASGGTGACTGAGTGTGGTTTAGATAGCTACAGAGAACAGTGATCAAGTAGGATGACCCGAGAAGGTTTTCCCATCCCAAGGAGGGACCTCACCTTGACAGTGAGGTGATGCAGCTTGTAGTACATCTGACACCTGGCTGTCAGGATGTGTGTTTTTACTGAAATACCACTGTAAAGCCACTGACCTAGAAGAGCAGGTAGAGGGGAAAGGCCCTTGACAACACACCCATTTGTTACATGGAGTGAACAGAATAAGACGATAACTAGGGMAAAAAAAGAAAAGAAAGGGAGCAGCAAAACAAAACATTATCCCAAGTCCAGCWTCCCATTTTCAGGGAACAAGCTACAACAGAAGGAGCTTTTCTGTTCCTCACAGGCAAAGAAAGTCCCCTTGCTCTCTCTTCCTGGGTTATCACACCAGTAAAGTAAAAGCAAAGGATACTGAAGCTCCCTGATGTAGCGCTGTACAGCTTCCAGGCGCTCAGGGATGGGGGTGGACGGCTGGAACACAGGCACACTTGGTATGGGAATCTGAAATGAGAAGCAGAACATAAATCAGTTTCCAATCTCTTCAGTGACACATAGCTATAGGGAGCATGTTTGTCTGAAGACAGACCCTTTTTGCTGCCCAAAGTGACCACACCAGAAACATTCCTCTGTTTCCACAATGGAAATTGGGAAGGGATTCAGAATGAAGCACTACAGAGCTGCAAGAGAAACAATGTGAAAGGGTCCTGCATTTATGCAATGTTCCATTGGAAGAAATAGGTAGAATTAACTGACAAGGCAAGATACAAGATAGGAAAGCTATCACCTGAGGGAACTTGGCCTCATTTGAGTATTGAAACTGAAAGGCACAAACAAAAAAAAAAAAAAAAAAAAGAGAAAAGCATAAATAGAGAATGAGTTTTCCAAAACTCCTGTAAGCAAGGGTAGAAAGGTCCTTTGCTGCTTCTTGGCATTTCAGGTGAGTTGATACTAACTAGTATATAGGCTTGACAGCATGACYCCCTGCCCTGCAGGGTATGGTGTTTTGAATTACATGGTCAGAGAATGACTTCTGGACGTTCACCTTTCAGACTTCTGAGGCCTCAGCCTTATGGGTCCAGTCAGATTTTCCTCACCATTTGCTTCACAGGGGATAAATGCAGTCTTGTCAGCAGCTGACAAAATGTGTCTAAGGAAGAGAAGGGAACTGTCCACAGGACAAATAAAAATTTGAATGACAGACTTGGAGAAATAGCCCAATATTTTCTCTCTGAAGGATAGCTCATGCCTTGCATGCACCTTGCTAATACCAGACTGCATCTTTTCTCAGCAGTTTGGTCTTTAACATTTCAGTTCCTCCTCAGACTTCCCCCAGAGCTGGGCTATCCACAGCTATGAAAAGAGCAAATCAGATGCAGTTCTTCCTTTGAGCCTTCCACTCTGCTGTGCACAACTGCCTCTGCTGGACATGGCTTTGTACTGTTACTGCTTAGTGCACTGTCCCCGTGCATTTCTGTGGCCACTGCTTAGTGCACCGTCCCTGTGTATTTCTGTGGCCACTTATTTCCATATATCTCCTTCTTCTGYCCTGTGTTGGTACAATTGACTGGTGAACCAGGTCAGGCACCTGAAGCAGCTGAAAGCTGAGCCAGCCAGCATGGGTAATTTTCAGCCAGATCAGTTCCCTGTCCTGGGCTGCCACATGTTTGCACTCTGCCCGTGCTCCCCCACAGTACAAGGACCAGAAACCGCWTAACCTTGAGATGGGCGTTGCTGCCTCTGGCATCAAGCCGAAGCACCGGCTGCCTCACTCGCAGGGGGCAGCACAGGCACGATGGGAGCAGATGTGAAACTGGGTTTGTTCAACAGCAGCAGGAGCAGGGAAGGCTCCAGAGAGTGGCACAGGAATGAAGCCATCTCTGGAACCGCATGAGCTGAGTCAGTTTGGATGCTGGGAACTGACACAYTGAGTCATAGGAAATAATTTCCACGCAGAAACAACGAAAGAGGTAACAATCAGGGCAGGCTGACTATTTAACTTTGTTTCATTTCTTCAGCATGGAGACTTCAATGCTTTTAAGTAAAGGCAGACAGATTAAGTGCATGTTGACAGCACAGACTAATGATTCTGGGTAGTTCCTCCTCCCTTTACTAGTACAGACCCCCAAATCCCCTTTTCCTCAAAGGACTGAGCAACACTGAGACAGCATAATGGCAGTCAGTTCAGCAGGGGACTAGTTAATGCGGATGAGCCTCCTGCACCTCAAGTAATTAAAACTGATGAAAGTACACTGTGCTCTCTCACAGATCTGGGCCTGCAGCCCAGACTGGGCTACAGTTTCTTTTCCATCAGTCTATAGCATTTTAATAGGGCAATAGAAGCAGGAGGAGAGGAATAAGTCTCCATCCCTCAATTCCACACTGACAGGATGAGAAACCCTTACACATTTTTCTTACCCAGCATCATCCACTGCACATCTCAAAAGAGCTATAAATATTAGGTAGTTTTCAGAGTCYTTCAGAAAGCAGAGGGGAATTTATTTGTAACAGAAAAGATAGGAAATCAGATCCATTTTGATTTCTCTTTAGTTATCCTGAAAGCTGGACAGAGAGCTAGGAAGAGAGCCCACATTTCCCGAAGTATACAACCCCTGCCAGGCTTAGCAGACCAAATGAACACATCTTGGTCTCTCATCACTTGTGTGGAGTAGTTGTATCACCCCACTCCTAGATTCATGCACCCTGGCAGGCTGCCTGTATGCATGGGATTGGGACTCTGCTTTTAGAAAGGGGATCCTGAGAACAACAGATTTTCATATACCAAGTGGCCCAYGCTGTATGTGAGGAAAGGCGGGTGGGAGCGAGGCATAGACAAAGCTCCACCCTTATCGATATCATAGAGGTGCTCTTTTGGCCAGCCTAGATTAGCAGCAGTTTCTTTTATGGTACTTAGGTGTACCCAAGCACCTCCCTACTCCTCCGTCTGCAAACAACACGGGAGCTATATAAGATTTGGTTGAGTCTGACTGAAAAAACAGATTTTTTTTTTTTTTCTAGCTCTCTTGGTATTGAATCCATTAGATGCTACTCTTCCTGTCTGCCCTCATAACCACCTCATTTAAAATCCATAATTTCGTAATCAGCCAAGCACACATCACTTTGTAYTTCCAGCACGGACCCATTTGGTGGTTCCAGTAGCTTGAAGCAAAGCAATACTCCACCCTGTCGCTGAAAAGAACACAACCTACAGAAGCGTGGCACTTTSAAGCCTGCTCATTTGATGTCCACTCACCTCATATCTACTGAAAGGAAATGGGGACTAGAGGAGATCTCTGAGCTCTCACACCCCACTGAGAGACACAGCCCCCAAAGCTGATCTGTAAACATACATCTAATCACAGCCTCCTGCAGTCATAATTTTACAGTATTTTAGTTTAGTGACAGCTTTTTTGAGAGCTATTTCCCCCAGCATTCAGTGCTGGCTATGATCCAAGGCCAACATTTTGGAGTAAGCAAGTCACTTTCCCATTCCTGACACCTAGAAAGGACTATTCATCCTCCAGCACACGGAGAGATTGTGGTTTTTCAAAGTAACTAGCCTTGCTTAGTACACTCATTGGCCAGATTATCATCTGTTRCACCAGCCTTTAAAGAAACTTGATGGCATGGAGACAAGTGGTTATGAGCGGCCCTCAAAGACAAAACCACATACCTAGAGGGGAGAAGGAGCTACGGAAACAGTGCTCATCCACCCTTGTGGTTTCCTGAATCCCAGTATCCTCTCAGCTAYATGCCCAGTGAGCTTGGGAATGGGATCTCAGATGGCTGAGCAGTGAATAGAGTTTACAAAGGTATTTCCCAGTGGTGCCAGCAGATGCAAAAAAAAAACCCAACCCAAAACCCAATACTCTCCAAAACAAAACAGCCCAGTTTCACYTGTTGTTGCAAGAGCTCAGACCACTTGTGTCCCCTAACTATAACTGTCTCAGAYTGACTACAAAGTGGGAACAGAGAAAGTTCTCCACATAAGACCAAAACAAGGGACTGAACGCCATATTTCCTCCCCATCATTCACTTGTTTGTCAGCTTCTTTCTTCCATTTCCCACAGCTTTTTTTGCCAAGTCAGTTRTTACGGTTAGGAAATTAAGTAGTGTGTCTTTTGACTGATCTAAAACATGTTTTCAGCCTTCACCAAGGCTCAGGACAAAGTCAGAGGAAAGGAAGGAAATCTGAAAAGGAAGGAAAAGTCCAGTGGAGTTAGACTAGCAACTGTAAACAGGGCTCAGGATTTGTTCCAGTTGCTGCCACATATGCCTATAACTCTTCACTGCACAAAGGATGTTGCATCACATGCTTCTCCAGAATTCCTCATGGAAAGCAGTGTGGATTGTCTGTGCACTATATAATAGCATGGTCTTCAATACTTTAAATTACTTTCCCAAGGAGGTAAGTCCTTGTTAAAAAAGCCTGAGATGAAAAAACTTAATCTTTCTGTAGCTCAATTTCCCCTATTAGAGTGATGGGAGTACTCTTATAACCTGCTAGTGGAATGACACACCAAATGTTTGCAGTATCTTTTGTTCACAGTATGCCAATGAAAGGGAGAGATTTTTCTCCAGCTGAGGTGCAACACAGATAGCAACAATCACAAGAATTCACATTCAAATGTTTCAGTATGGCACAAGGCTCAGTGAAATAGTCAGTGGTTCCTCTTTTCATAGAGTTCTCTGCAGCAAGGCCAGGAACGTGCTTGGAAATCACATCTGACCCTATACCAGCAATAACCTCTGCAAGCATTTGCTAACTCCTCTTAAAATGTTTGGCATCAAAAGTCTTTTTTGACAGACACTGTTCTGTTCAATAATACCTTTGGTGTGGGAGAGTGTACCCAAATCAAATTTCTTCAGGTTCAAAGGCTCACCTGTCCCTGTCTCAACCCCCTACTTCAAGTATTTGGACCCTTCTAAATTTAACTCTCCTCATCTTTTCATCATGTATCCAGTCTTTCTCTGTAGGCATTGCCCATTCCACCCCCCGCCCCCCTCAGGCTGCTCACACATGAGCTACCGTAAGTCTGTTTCCCAGCAAGGCCGCAGAAGAAGGTGCAGCTGGCGCACCACACTGGTCAGAGCCCCGCAGATACCCTCTCGCACTCCCGAGTTAGAGCGTGGCTTTGCTTCCTGCAAGAGCAGTCCCGGGGCCCCTTTTTCCGAGGGATCGCTCCCGAACTGGGGAGACTAGCCTCCAAAGGGGACAGGAGGGCGCCTCCTCCCAGCGGGATGCGCCGTTTCCCTCTTCCCTTCATCCGCCCTGTGGGGGACGGTCCGCCCCGGGCACTCCCGCCGGGACCCCGCGCCGCACCAGCCCCGGACCGGGGGGATCTCACCTTGGGCAGGTCGGCGGCGCCCCGGATCCTCTGCGCCACCCGGTCCCCCTCGGGATGGATCCTGCCCACATGCCGCCACATCCGCTCCCAGGTGGGCTCGTCCACGGGCAGCCCGCCGCGGTTGACGAAGAAGGGGACGCCGCCGTCGCGAAGATCCTCCTCGCCCTCCTCCTCCTGCTGCTCCTCGTCCCGCGGCGCCGCCGCCTCGCCGGTCGGGGACTGCCTGGCGGCCGCGGCCCCACCGCCCCCCGGCATCGGCATCGCCGCGCCCGCACTCAGCGCCCGC